AAATTTCTTTTTTTAATATTTTTAATATTTATTATTTTATGTGTATGAGTGTGTTGCCTGTATAAGTGTAAGTGCACCCCTGTCGTGCAATGCCTGTGGAGGTCAGAAGAGGGTGCCAGATCCCCTGAAACTGGAGTTACAGACAGTTGTTAGGCACCATGTAGGTGCTGGAACCCAGGTCCTCTGCAAGAGCAACCAGTGCCATTAACTACTGAGCCATCTCTCCAGCTGTGACTCTAAAATTTCCCATTTCTTGGATCATCACTAACAGGATTTATATAAAGCACACTTGGTATGCAAGTAAGTGTATTACTATGTTTTCATGTATGATATTGTGTGCATGTGCAGTGACTGTGTGTACGTGTGTGCATGTGAGTGTGGAGGCCAGAGACCCATGTCACGCATCTTCTGCTATTCCTCTCTGCCTTATCATTTGATGCAGGGTTGTTTGCTGAATCCAGAGTGAATGGACTGATTGACTAGCAAGCTCCTGGGATCTGCTCATCTCTACTGCTTCCCACTGTCAGGATTACAAACACACATGACCATTCCCAGATTTTACATAGGTACAGAGGATCCAAACTCACATCCTCATGCTTGCATAGCAAGCTCTTTACTGAATGAACCATCTCTCCAGCCCATTACCCTTTATCTTTGAAAAAATGAGTCAGGTTAGCATCAGGTGCACATTCAGAGTATAGGAGCAGACAAGCCATGGGGCTCTTCAGCTGTCAACTTGACACAAACCTAGAATCGTCTGGGAAGAGGTAACTTTAATTAAAGAATTTCTCATATCAGAGTGGTCTGTGACCCTGTCTGTGAGGCATTTTCTTAACTGCTAATTGTTGTAGGGAAGGCCCATCCCACTGTGAGTGGTACCATCCCTAGGCAGGTGGGCCTGGACTGTATAAGAAGGGAAACTGAGCAAACCAGGGGAGTAAGTCATAAGCACCATTCTCCAATGGTCTCTGCTCCAGGTTGTTGCTTGAGTTCCTGCCTTGGTTTCCCTGGATGATGAATTATAACCTATAAGATGAAATATGCCCTTTCCTCCCCTACTTACTTTGGGCAGTGTTTTATGACCGCCATGGAGAAGAAATACCTGGAAAAGACACAATTAGAACTGTGATCGCTGCTGTTCCTGGGTGGACCTGCCCTGGTACCTAGAAATGTTTGCCTTTGCCTTCGACCATTACAGCTTTCTGCTCTCGCACGATAAATGAATTCCTTCAAATCAGTAATGTCCTCATGATTCATACCAGAGAATGTGAACCCGGATTCCCAAAAAAACAATTAAAATGCATTTTCCCATTTGTGTTTCACCATTTTAGAAATCTTTGTTTAGTTCCTTTTCCCAATTTTTAATTATTTTTTATGTTTATGTTTTTGAGTTCTTTGTATATACTAGATACTAACCTCTGTCAGAGGTATAGCTGGCAAAGACTTTCTTCCCACTCTATAGGGTGCCTCTTCTCTCGAATGGTGGTGCCCCTTGATGTAGAGAAGCTTTTTAGCTTCTTGAGATCCCATTTGTTCTACTTAATGCCTGCGCTATAAGAGTCCTGTTCAGAAAGTCCTCTCCTGTGCCTATAATTTTCAGTTATTCCTTACTTTCTCCTCTATCAGATTTAAGGTATCAGGTCAGACTCTTTAGCCATCAGGGAAACGTTACTTTGAGATGTCATCTTACCCCAGTCAGAATAGCAAAGATCCAAATATAAATGATGATAAATGTGGCGAGGATGGGGGGGGGGAGGAGCACTTATTCACTGATGGTGAGAGTGCAAACTGGTGCAGCCACAATGGAAATCAGTGTGGAGGTTCTCAAAAAGTTACAAATAGATCCCACACATGATCCAGCCATACCACTCTTGGGTATATACCCAAAGGACTCTGTATCTTGCAGTAGAGATACCTGTTCATCCATGGTCATTACTACCCTATTCATATTAGTCAGGAAATGGAAACAACCTAGATGTCCATCAACTGATGAATGGATGATCAAAGTGTGGTACATTTACAGAATGGTGTATTATTCAGCTCTTAAGAAAAATGGCATTATGAATTCCAAAGGTAAATTGATGGAGCTGGAAATAATCATCCTAAGTGAGGTAACACAGACCCAGAAAGACAAATGTTGCTTGTTCTCTCTCATAAGTGGATGCTAGCTTTGGATCTTTAGACAGATGTGTTTCAATTGGTAAATCCTCAGGAAACTAACAAGGGGCCATGGAGAGGTATTCATGGAGATAGAATGAGGTGATATAAATGGGAGAGGAGAACACCAAGGTGGGGAATAGGAGGGTAGGGCTGAAGAGAGAGCAAAAGGAGAGAGAACTAAAGCTAAAGGCCTTTTAAAAAGTCATATTGAAACCTACTATAGAAACTTCTTTCAATATATACATATACAATATCAAAAAAGTTTAAATGTATACACTTTATAATAGGGGTTCAGCAACCCTAATAGACACCACAGGCTAGCAGACAAAAAGCTTAATGCCAGGAATGGGCTCCGTCTTCTGGAGCTGTTGATCAGAGAGATCCCATGGGCCCTCAACAATACTTACTATTGTCACTGCACTTGGTTACCCACCAGAACTTGATTATAAGACCTAGGTTAACTAGGCTCTAGTGAATGGACCCACACTGAAGGACATTTGGGGACACAAATTTGATTTGATAGGCCTTAACATACATAACAGAGTACATGAAATCTGGCAGTGGGACTGTGAGAGGCTAAAATGGGTGAAGATAGGGGAGGGTATCTAAATATGATCAAAGTATATTGTATGGAATTTTCAAAATTTCAGTGTAAAAAGTAATCATTAAAAGAACCCACAAAGACCCTACCATTGAAGACATTTCATATCTAAGTTATAGAACAAACAGGAGAAATCAAGCTGGTACTGACCCTGAGGCTTCATCTCTGCTGGCTAACTGTCAGAGTACTAGAAGGTTACGCATATTACCATCATGGAAGGTAATATGAGAGAAAGGTAATCATCAACCTTCCCTACCTGTGAACCCTGCAAGTTACAGTAGCAACTGGCTTGGCAAAATATACCCACTGGTACAATAGAGGCACAAATGTTATGAGAGTAATCAACTACCTTCTAACTGAATTTTAAGCCCAGCTCACAAGATGGAGTTCATACCTGATACTATTATCAAGACTAAGAACCTATGACTAGACAGGTCACAATCCATAGGGGAGAACCTAGTATTGTGCTAAACAAACATTGTCTTAAATTGACTTATAATGACTTACTGTTACACCCATAGATTAGTGTATCTCTCCCTTTTCACCAGAGAAGGATCTTCTTGCATCAGATGGAGATTAACACAAAAACCCACAACTGATCAATGTGCAGAGAATAAGAGACTGTGGAATGCTCAGCCCTGAGTGGGACACCCATGTGACAGGACACTCACTCCTCCCAAGACTCAGTGATCATTGTGGAAGAGGGAATAGAAAGATTTAAGAACCAGAGGTGGTAAATGAACACAAGGAAACTTTATTTTATGGACACCACAGGGTAGTTGCATATATGAACCCACAGTAATTATGAAAGCATGCCCAAGACCTGTGCAAACTCAAGACAGACAGGGGCCAAGCATGGGTCAGGGATGTGGGCAGGAAGCCCCAGCCCTAGCTGAGGATCTACTGGCAACTGGTAAATGCTGAGGGAGGGAGAGTCAGTTTTTCTTACTGGTGTGATGGCCAGAGTCTGAAAGACAGAGAGCATTTGAGAAAGAGATGAGACTCTATAGGCCTTTAGAAAAGACAAATAATAATAGAGGACACGAAGTCAGGGGTGAGTAGTGGGGTAGAGTTGACAGGGACGGGAGCCCTCAATGTGATCGAAATACTGTGTATGAAATTCTTGAATCAATAAAAAAATACATTTTCCTAATATCTTGATTAATTTTTCTTGAGATTTAAGACTCAGGAAAAAATCTTTTTCTGAGAAATGTTGGAAATTCGAATTGAAGGAATGTTCATTAAAAGGGAGCTTATTTTTCTATTTTTGTGCAGAAATCCTTCTTCTGTCTTACACCTGCAGGACTCTGTCCATGCAGAGGGCCTTTATCAAATTTACAAAAGCTTGCACAATGGCTGTTTTACATGCTGCCCCAAGTATTTAAGTGTGGAAAAGAACTTTTCACAGACTTGAAGTAAAAATATCTTTAAATATGCTTTACCTTTGGCTGATCTGACCAAAGGCATGGAAAACCAGATAAAGAACATGAGGTAAGTCAGAATGTTTTGTCTCTTTTTTCTTTCCTTTTTTGGCTCACTAATATTTCTAGACTTTAAACAAGGCTTCAGCACACCAGAAATGAGCAATTATCCAGCTTGCGCAACCCATTTTCTGGGTTAACCCTCCGTTCAAATATTTCAATGCACCTTATAAGTTGGTTATCATGCAAGATACTTTCATACATGTCGTTTGACTGAAGCGAAGCGTGAAAGTGGCCAATACATGCTTTAAGCACTTACAATGTGTGAGACTCTATGGTACATGTTTCAAATGTGTTTTCTCAATCTTGAAAATCTCCCTGTCATACAAATATTATTCACTTAATTGCACAAGTTGAGAGAATTAAAGCTCAAACCATAACTACAATAACCACCTGCCAGCAAGAGACACAGGTTAGAAGTTAACCTAGGTGAAGCTTCAAAACACCATGCTTTCTCCCACACCATACTGAAAATCATAAAACACAGATAAAGTCACAACATCTGGGGTCGACGATGCCCATCTCCTACACCCCGGCCAGGAGAGAGAGAACAGGCAGCAGGCAGCCTTGTTGCTTCATGAGGACTAATCTTGAAACCTCCGAGCAAGGTTAGGCCTTCCCCCACTTACACTTCCGTAGCAGCGGCAACGTGCTACTCTTACTTAAAAGAGACCTATCATCAGCTTAGAAGCTGAATACATGTTTTTAGGAAAGGTTTCAACTGAACATTGAAAGCAGAGTAGGAATGTTTTTCTTACCTTTAAATATTTCACCAGCTTCTGAATTTGCCAATATTCTGAGGGCAAATCTGCATTTGCTTCCTGCCGATGGTCAGGAGGTTCCTCATCCTCCTCGCTCTCTGAGGAGCTCTCGCTGACGGTTTCCTCAACCTTCTCGACACCCTTACTAAGAACAGTAACAACAAGGGCACACGGGTAAGGACTGTAACAGTGATACATCAGCAGCAACAGACAAGAGAGCAAGCAGTACCTGTGAGTTCTAGGAGGCAGGCAAACTTTCCATACTTCCCTAAACTGGTGAAGGGCAGGCAGCACAAGCAAATTGTAATATATAGCAAACACAGTGAAAAGCTCTAAATGAGATGCATCCAGAAAGGCCACAGACAAACCAAAGTGCTCAAGTACCACAGGGAGGGTAGGTGTGGTTCTGATGGGCGACACTAGGGAACCCAAGGGCTGAGGGAGCTCTGTGTGCTGACAATTGTGTTCATCTCACACGCCTGCATATGGGGTAAAGACACACACTGAGCTGATGTTCATGTCTTGGTACTGTGAGTGTACTGTAGTTTCCCTCAATGTAGTCACAGAAGGTTGCTGAGCCACGTGTACTGAGACCAGGCACTGTCTTTACAACTTCCCATGCATCTATAATTATTCCACAATAGAAAGCTTTAAAAGTTCTTAAACAAATTGAATAATGTATTATAGTAAACCAGAAAGTAAAACTAGCATCAGTGCAGTACAGCTCTTAAAGTTTATTTTTTTAATCCCAAGTGTGCAAACGTTTCAATGTGAATCTCTGCCTCCCCTTCCCACCACCTCTCTGAAACTCTCCAGTAAAAATGGCTGACTGTTCTTCTCCTTTTCCTTTTTGTTAAACTGAAAATCATACAAAATGTTTATTGTCGGTCCCATGTTAATTGTTATCTTAAATGGAAAGAATGTCAGCATAGAATTGGAAGAATAATCTGTGATGACAAGAAGAGGCCCCGGACATATCATAACTCTGCAAGGAGGTGACTGTTGTGAGGCACAGCTGAGCCTGGCGTGCATACTCCCAACGCTTAGAAGCCTGCTCTTTGCAGCAGATAGCTCTCTCCTTGGTGACTCCTGAGCACCCCCATGTTCCGGTGCTGCATGAGAAGGACGTCTTATAAATATATTTAAAGCAATCATTTTTACCGACATTGCTAGTAACTGTCAATATACTAATGAAGATGCTCTGGGACCCTGATATAACAGTGCGTAGGCCTCTAACTACCATTGCACCCAGCCCTTCTTTGAGGACAGTTAAGGTCAGGGCCGTACCAGAGTAACCGTGTACGTACCGGAGTAACCGTGCCCGCCCAGAGGAAGCTGATGCGCGTGGCTTTTCAGGCTTTCCTTGTTTTCCCTCTTGGCTGTCTTTTATAGAGCTTTTGTGGCTAAACAAGGAAACAGAGCTTTGTTACTTGATACTGAAAAACAGGATAGAAAGGATGGAAGTAAATACAGATGGCCCTAGCATTTTCATGAATCCCACCCCCAAATGCTCTTTCCTGCCTCAGAATAGCCCGTTACAGCCTCCCCCACAACACCTACAGGGGACCTTCATGTTCTCTAAGCACAGCTATGCAGTTAGACCCCGACTCAAAAAAAAAAAAAAAAAAAATCAAACAAGAAACAGCACTTTGACCAGTACCTTTTTGCACTAGGAAAAGGTACTCACAGGCCCCGTGGCAGCGAGCCCCTCATCCTACACCTTCCACTCTGGGCGCTCCAGGCTCAGTTACACTCCCCTAGCCTGTAGTTTCTTCCTTTCCTCACCCAACACTGCAACAGGGGCACACCTGGTCTTTCAGGCATTCCCGGGCTTGGCCATCCATTATTAAAAGCAGTATTTTACAATTCACTTTCCGTTAACAGGGACCCACATGCATTTTTCAGACTGCCATGCACAGTTACAGAGGTCAAGAGCCATGAAGCCAGTGAGGGTCAGAAAAGCAAAGGCACTTACTCTCCCACAGCGCTCAATCCTCCTGAAGTCTCTACATTTACTTCTAAAACAAAACCCACATTCACTTCCAAAACAAAACCCTCCTCAGAATCCCTAAAGGAGAGCATTCTCCTGTGACCAACCAGGAACCAGTTCTATCATGTAACATTGAATATAAGTGTAAAGATAGCACACAGCATCAAATACAAGCTGGTGTTTGTCAGATATTGGCTGCATTTTTACAAGGTGCCTGCTACAGCTGGGACCATGAGGAGCCGCCAAACACCCACAAAGGTTTGACCCCCATCAGGCACAAGGTTCAGGCCTGCAATGATCCAGCACACGGGAGACTTAAGTAGAAGGATTGCCACAAGGTAGAGGCCAGCCTGGGCTATAGCATGAGACCCTGGTTTGACCCCAGGAGTCACTGTAGGGAGGCAGTGGAACCTTTACAAGGTGGAGCCTAAGGTCTCTAGGTCACTGAAGACCCTCATAGGAACGTGATCACTCTCTCTTTCTGTTTCCTGGTCATGAGATAATCAGTTTTACTCTGCCATGTGCTCCCCACTATGGACATAAAGTACCCCTACCACACTTAAAGAAGCAATGGTTTTCTAATCACGGACTGAAATTTCTAAAATCATAAGCTGTAATAAACCATTTCTCTTTACAAGTTAATTGTCTCAGGCATTTTGTTATAGTGATAGAAACTTGACTAACACAATGTTCTAGGGATTTCTAACAGTCCCAGCATTTGAGTAGCAATGACTCTGTGTGCATGTTCTATGTATGTATATATATATGCATGTTTGTGGGTGTGCAGGTACACATGTGTGCATGTGTATGTGGAGGCTGGAGGATAGCCTTGGGTGTTGTCCCTCAGGGCTGTTACTTCTTTTTTGAGACAGCGTTTCTCACTGGTCTGAAATTCACCAAGTAGACTAAGCTGGGTGGCCAGCAGGCACCAGTGATTCTCAGTACTGACGTTCCAAGCACACACCACCATGCCCAGGTTTTGTTGTTGTTCTTTTAGTTTGGGGAGTTGAACTCAGGTCCTCATGCTCTCAAGGCAAGCACTTTATTGACTGAGCCATCATCCCAGCCCTTGAGTAGCAATAACTCTTCATCTTTGCTTACTCATAGCAAAGAGGTTCCAAATGGAAGGAGCTTTGTATATTCCATGTACTTATTATCCCAGTACCTACTTTACACAGGCCTGTTAACACTGTTGAGACTCTGCTTCTTACTATATTAAAGCTGAGTTCAGAGAGAAGACATCGTTGCTAAGAAAATTTCCGTGATTAACCCCATCACGTAATTTTAATCGTGTAAAGTTCTCCCTACCACAACCTCTACATCTTCCATGTTATTTCTCCATGTGTTTTAGTATCATTTTCCCCTTTCTTTGGTCCTGACTCACCACTATACAAAAGTCTATAAAACTGTATTCTTTCTCCTCCCTTCACAGTGGTCTAAACATAAGCACCGCTACTGCCCACTTAGAACATAAAGAGAAGGACAAAGGACCCAACCAGGAAGGGACAAGTCAATATGAAGCACCGTTCCAGGAAAAATTAGTATGTGGTGAGTGAAGATGCATCAGAAAACCCATCACTCAGATGTCTACATACTCTTTGTAATCAACAGTGGCTCTCCAGTTTAAGCTTGGCTCCAGTCTCTTGGTCATATGACTTTTCCCAAAATTAATTTGGTTCTTTTCCTGTTTACTCTTCTCTAAACCAGCTACAGATGCATGTGAGGCTCCTTCACTCTTGAGTTTCTCATCAATTTGGTCCTTCCATTGCTCTTCATTGACTCTAACCTCCTTTATAAAATAAGAGGAATGGTTACAGTGACGTCACTTCTGAATTATGCAGTGTCATCTAAAGATGAGCACTGGTGATAAACATAGGAGAGTACATCTCAGATGCATCAACATTCCGTTGCTTAGCAACCCAATTTAAATATGGATAACTTCAAGACTAAGGCCTATATTAGAGTTAGGCAGAGACTAATGTGTTGTTTCTAAATTCATCTCTATGGCAACACACAGACGTAATAGCAGTATTGGACCTTACCACCTCTTGAAATAGTTAAACGCCATCCTTACATTGACTGGGACACATCATATTCAAATTATTTAAGCCAAGGATAAAAGAAGCATCTTGAAACTAGCCACAGATAGAAGACATATCCAAAGGCATGAGAGATGATTTAGTGGTTAAGAGCACTTGTGCTTTGGCAGAGGACCTGAGTGTTTGGTTTCCAAGTACCCACATCAAGTAGCTTACAGCCACTGTAATCCAAGCACCACGGGATCCAATGACTTTTCTAGCTTCCACAGGTGTGCATGAGCACACATACACACACACACACACACACACACAACACGTATGTACATACACGCACGTGTGCATGCACATGAACACACAATTTAAAAATGAAATATTTCAAAATAAAAAACATCTCCCACGCACAGTTAGAAACATAAAAATGTGGATCTGGGGAGATCGTTCTATCAGTAAAGTACCCACCACATAAGCATGAGGACCTGGGTTTGGATACCCAGCACCTATTTAAAAGCTGGGTGTGGTGATACAGGTTGAGGGTAGAGACAGGTTTATCCCCAGAGCTAGGCTAGTCAGCCTAGGCAATTGGTGAGCTCTGGGCTAAAAAAGTGGGGGAGGCAATAAAGAAAGACATCCTTCAAAAGTCTCTGGCCTCCACTTGCCCACATGGCACACGTACACACACATACACCAGAGAGAGGAGAGAGAGAGAGAGAGAGAGAGAGAGAGAGAGAGAGAGAGAGAGATTGGTACTGAGGGTCTGGCTCAGGAGGGGAGGCTGGGACAAGTCAGTGTTTAGTCAACTGCAAACACTGCAGAGGTCTAAGCAGGGACAACACTGGCTCAGAGTAGCAAGTATTACGGAAAAGAAATAAGACTGCACTGTGTCCTGTGGCTCAGCTACAGAATACCACACACCCAAGCTGAGTAATCACACAACGCTTCCCTAACCAGAACTGACTGTCTGCCCAACACACCAGAGAGAGAAGAGAGAGAGAGAGAGAGAGAGAGAGAGAGAGAGAGAGAGAGAGAGAGAGAGAGAAAGTTTTAAAGGAAACATAAAAATGTGAAGATTTCTCATGAGAAATGCTGAAAGCAAAACAAACGGACACTTTCACTTCAAAGTACTGAAAACAAAAGAACGCTCCACCAAGCGAAGCTCTAAAAGAGACGAAACAAGGGAGAATGAAAGTCCAAGAAGGGTGAAGGCAGGAGAGAATCTGGGCTGGACGACAATTCCATGGATAAAGGCCTGTGCCCTGCAAGCATAAAGACCTGAGTTTGCATCCACAGAACCCAGGTAAAAGCCGGATGCATTGTGTAAGCGTCTGTAATCCCAGTGCCCTTATAAAAAGATGGGAAGTGGAAAGGGGAAATCTTGCAAGCGGCCCAAGCATGAGGATGTGACCTCTAGCATAAGTAAAGTCTGGGAGTGGGAGCACATGTCTGAATCCCAGTGCTCACTGGCCAAGCAATTCAGCTGAAAACAGTGGGTTCCAGGCTCAATAAGAGACTCTGTCTCAAAAATTAAGTGCAGAACAATAGAAGAAGACTTGTCATGTCAAACTTTGGCTTCCATACATGCATGCACAGGCAAGTGTGCCAGCAACATGTGTTTCCACACATATACAACACACATACACACATGAAGATAAAGAAAAAGGGGAAGAGGAAGAAGAGGAGGAAGAGGAGGAGGTCGTCAACATTTAAGACCTAACAGTAAAATTCCAACATTCATACCATCTGAGTACCAGAGGGAGAAGAGACAGCGAGTCAGACTGAAAATATATTCCAAGTATCCCTATAATTTCCTCAATCTTGGGAAAAGATGGAATTAACTCTATGATTCCAGAAGCTGAGAAAACCCTAAACAAAATAAACCCAAAGAAATTCTTCCTAAGATATAGATTAATGAAAGTCCATAAAACAAAAGACAAAATTCATAAAAACAGTAAGAAATGATACATTAGCATAGCTATAAAATGAACGGAAAAGAACTGTAGGTGTCTCAGGAGACAAGCAGAGGCCAGAAAGATTTTTAGCATTTTTCAAATGCTTGGAGTAAAGGATTGTTAACCCAGAGAGCCCTGCTCAGTGGAAATATTACTTAGGAATGAAGGAGAAATCAAGACATTCTTTGATGAAGGGAAAATAAACCTATGCAAAATGACAGCCAAAAGGAATCCTCAAGCAGGAAGAACACAGGGTATAATCAAACAACGCTGCAATATTAGTGGGGTTGTATATAATCACAGACATGACAATTCGAAATGATTAAATGGTGTTAGCATTAAAGGAATTTCTTATACGAACATTTGAAAATTGCCCTGTTCTGACTTTTTACTAGTTCCCTGTCTAGAACTTGTAATGCTAAGTACTCTTGCCTTTACTTCTCCTTCACATCTCCTATTCATGATTCAAGGACTTTCTTCTCCCCTTAGAGACAAGAGTTATGCAATTTAGGAGTCTTTTAGACAGACCCACTGAAGGGGTACCCCAATTGCCTCACACTGAGTCCATGTTCAGCATGGAAGAAGCCAGAGCGGTCGGCGTCCCAATTCCCTATTGGCAATTTGGGTAACCCCTTCAGAGGATGGCGTGATAAGAATAGGAGGTAGGAATTGGCTAGGCAGTTAGGGTAAAAAGACCCCAAAGAAATGTAGCCAGTTTCTTGGCTAAAAGTCAAAATGTCCTTGGGCCTGTTAGCAACATACTCTGTTCCAAGGCCAAAAATGTCAAAAGTATTTGGGAGCTTGTATCTAGCTTGAAGTGAGTTACCTCATCAGACGGGGGTGATGTTGGAGGGGAGGGAGTAGGCGTGGATTTGATCAAAACACCTTATATGCATGTATAAAATTCTCTATAACGTTTTTGTAAAAATTAAAAAATAAATAAATAAAATCGCACGCCTGTAGTCCCAGCACTTGGGAGGCAGAGGCAGGTGGATCTCTGT